ATGTATTGTAATATTTTTTTTTCATGGGGACATTTATGTATTTGATACAATATTTATTACTACTTTATTAATTACATTATTTATTTCATTTATTTATTTATTGTATTTTGAATGAAACTGCTCTCCATCGAGTCTACTGAGGAGTTTTTTAGTGATTTATTAATAAAGTTGGGTTGGAGTTGGACAGTTGAGCTAGTTTCAGGTTCCAAATGGTCCCTCCATTTCACAACAACACATTCATTATGCTCTGAGCGACCCTCAGAACTTAACGGGCACAAGGAGGTGGACACAATTCCTAATAAATATGTTTCATTTAATTAGGAACGCGGTATCTCCTGAACCACTGGATAGATTTTGATAAAACTCAGGAAGTAACCATTGGGTGTGTCCACTAACGCACCGTCATTTGTACGGTCCTTTTATACGTGAGGCCCCTGGTCCTGGTCTGTGGGCAGATGTTTCATGTGTGTACTGGTCAGAGAGAATGACTCATCTTCATTTGTATTCCAGGTCACCTGATGGGTCCAGTTCTCTGTCACTCCTTCTGTAACTACATGGGTTTCCCTGCCATCAGCTCAGCACTGGATCATCCACAGCGCCTCATGGTTCTTTCGTCCTACGTGCTGGGGGTCCTTCTCTTTTTTATCTTCCTCTTCCCTTTCACAGACCCATTCTATTATGGTCTCCCCACACCTGTCTGTACCCTCACTCCGTCCCCCAGCTCCCTCTGCCTCTCCTGAAGCCTGTTGCATACCTCCTGCCAGGCTTTTGTCTCATAATGACCCACTGGTTAAAGCAATAGAGAGATGGGGGAGGGGTGGGCTACACGTCACATCTCTTATTTTTGTCTAAATGGGATTTGATGGTATTGCTAATGAACCTAGGTCAGTTCTCCACTCCCCTCTGAGACACGGTTCTTGTTGTGTTGACATAAGTCCGCAGCAGGACCTCCTCATGGTGGTATCTCTGATAGAATCAGAGACAGTTTTTATTTCCACTCAATCAGAAAAATCTGATCTATCACAACTAAAGTCTTATTTTTATAAATTGTAGAATAATGATAAAGTAGCCTAGATCATTTTCAATCATTTTTGTTACAAAGTTCATTAAGAAGTGGTCTTATTGTCAAAATAATGAAAAACAAAGTTGCCCAGTGATGTTATTTATCTTTAGGAATGAGGAATCTACTAACCTCCTGGCACTGCTGTAGACTCATGATAGTTTTCAGTTAGTTTTATGTAAAGTTCTACAAACCAAAAGCCAGTATCTCACTGGGCTGGGACTGTTGGAAATTGTGCAAAACATGACGACAAAGCTCTCTGACTGCAAACACTCTGAAAATCTGATTTATTTGCAGTTCTGAGATGTAACTTTGTCTCAAACTAGTCTCCAGTTGTCCCAGCCCAGTGGGGTACCAGCTACAGGCTGGAACCACTAAGCCAGACTTGGATGCCCAGCAGAAGAACCTGCAGGGTGTAGAAGATTTGCCACTGAGATAAAACCATCACTTTGACTACCTTCTGTCATTTTCAGTTGAATTGGTCAGAAGATGATACATTTGTTCAGTTTGTTGTGTTCATGAAAATGAAGATGAAAACCACAGACACAAACATTACAAGTAAAACCTGTAACCAGGTGTAGAGATGCTGTGTACGAGTCTGTTATATTGTTTAGGGTTTGGATTTACATGCATTCGGTATGGAATGTATGTCTAATTTTWATTTAACAGTTAATTACTGGTATTGATGAGTTTTGTTCTTAGTTTACAGAACTTGAGTCCTGATTCTACAATCTGTTTGTACCTCTGGCTGAGTTCAGCTTGTCAGAGGCAGGTAGAGGTCTTAAAATGTTTTTTATTTTTGCCTGGGTGGTCTCAACATTAAAATGGTAGCTTGTCTTTAGACAAAGTTCCCTTTTTATTGGTAATTAGATTATTTTATTCTTAGATTTGTATTCTTAATTTATTTTAAATGATAAGAAAGGAAGCAGAGAAAATCCGTTGAACATGCTRGTGTTTTGTTGGAAAAAAGGTACATTTGGAGTTATTTGCAGTTCTAATAATTATTGGTGGTATTTTAAATATTCTCTTGGTGAGGTTGGGTGATGGGCTTGGTAATGGAATGGTTCCAATTTGTTATTGCCCAATAGGTTTTATTTAGGCACACGTCGGTCAGGTTGTACTCTCATGTTTCAGCCAGAGACCCGGCAGTCCTCAGGTTATTTCTTGTGTTTCTGTGGGAAATGCTCAGAGTTACTAAATGGCACAAAGATCTTTGGAAAACGCAGTAGTTCAAGAACCTACATTTTAGTTCATAAATACTTCTGCTGTTTGACCTTGATTGTCTGCACCAAACTACAGGTGTGAAATCCAGATTAACAAGTTGACTTCCTTAAAGTTTTCCTCAGGATCCAGGTCCTGGGAAACTCCTCACWGAGTAAAAACACAAAAGGCCACATCTGTGCCCCTTCCCACAGGATGACAACCAAGTCTCATACAGCCTGTTGATAAAAGGCAAATTATAGTGAATTAGAAAACTCTTTGGTGTGAAGCTAATCACGGTGCTGTTATTCTTTTAAAGCTTACCAAACACGTTTTCTTGTTATTGTTTTCAAGATGCTCTCCTGATTATTTATCAGACTCCGTATGTCAGCAACAGATTCCTATGTGCCCACAGTCCCATCACAATCTGTAGAGCAGCACTGATTTACAGATGCTTCAGGAACATGGAAGATTCTGAAATGGTTTTCAAATTTCAGACMCTGATATGGTCAGATATGGTTAAATTAATCTGTGCTGCCACTTTAACAGAGGCCACTGTTCCAAAAGCAGAACCAGAACAAAAGGTGAAAAGTGTGGTTGAGAATTTTGAACATTTTTAAGAGTTTTTATCATGTTGAAGACGGCTTTATTCATTTTCAGTGAGAAAATAAAATGGCCAAAAAAGCTCAATATCTCAAAATGTATAAATTGCTGAAATACCAAGGAGCTGAATGTTTTAATTTGTTGAAATTGCACAAAAACTGAGGAGCGAGATGCATGCAGTGTATGAAGAAAAATGGATCTTAATTGAGTTAATGCTTATCAATGCTTATTTAAAAAACCAAACCTACCAGCACCAGCTTTAAAGTTTACTCCAAAAGATTAAATCTTAAACTTGAAGGGCAGCTGTGAAGCTGGGTACAGAGAGGCTGCTAAAGAAATGTCATCTATTTTCTCAGAAGTTTGAGTCATGGACTGTTCTCCAACAGTTTCAGTCCAGTGAGATACTGGCTGAAGGTTGTTCCTGATGTGTTTGCTGTTTTACATGTACAACTGTTCCTGTGGTGCTTTAGATCTTGGACAGGAAGAAATGGTCATATCCTTCTATTTTACTCGGCCCATCAGATCTGGGTATTTGCTCTGTTTTGGTAGTCGTAGGTTTATTGCTCTGTCAGCAAACTAAAAAATGAAAACAGACAGCAGAACTTTTTCTTTTTTTACAGCAGACTGTAAAAAAAGTTTAATTCTGTTTTGTTTGCGCAGAGTTTGGAAATTTATCATAGAAGGAAGAATTTCAATTAACTTCTGTTTTATTTATAAAGCGCCAAGTCACAACAAACATGGTCTCAGGTTACTGCACAAAAAAAATAATTAATTTGCTTTTAAATGTACATTTAACAGCTTAACTGATTAAATTTACACTGCAATGAAATGTTAAAACACAGCTACAAGCACTGATACTGGAGCTAAACCCACAAAATTAATGCTTTTTTAAATTTTTTTTACAAAATACTGAATTTTGTGAAGTTATTCCGTGAAAAGATAAGACAGAGTATTAGGGCCACACAATAAGATTTTTTTAAATTTTTTAAAATTACAAGAATAAAGTCATATTATTA